TAGCGCCTGTGCTGTGTGTCCTCTTCTTGTGTCCTCGTTTCTTAGCGCTATTTTCAGTCGTTACTGGTCTGACGTTCGGAAATGCGGTCTTGTGCATGAGATGAGAAGTTTAGCAAAATTAGGAATTAAGCAACGTGAAATAGGTAGGCTTGCTTTAGGAGCTCACGGGAATACACCAAATCAGGGAGTACAAAGTGATATGGGATGGACATCATTTAAGGGCAGGGAAGCTAGCAGCAAGATAAAATTTGAGAAGCGACTGAGAGAAATGGGGGAGGAGCATTGGGCTAAGAAGGTATTCAGCTACTTGTACCTGAAGAATGTCGATACAAAATGGAGGAAGCAAACCAGAAAATTGACTGTTAATTACCTAGACAACAGCAGGGGCAAAACCAAAAAGAATTATCGGTTAAGAAGAAGGTAATGGAAGCCGAGGCCGATGTGTGGAGAATAGGCATGATTAAGAAGTCCGCACTAGAGATCTATCGAACTTTTAAGCAGGAAATTGTCAAGGAAAGGATCTATGATAATACTCGTGGTAGTTAACTACTGTTTGAGGCCAGGACGGGAGTATTGCGAATCGAGACATATCGGGCCGAATACGAAGGGATAGACACGGTATGCAGTGCATCCCGGCTGCGGCGGCTGCATTTCCGATGGAGGCGGAAATTTCGTAGGCCCGTGTGCTCAAATATGGGTGCACGTTAAAGAACCCCAGGTGGTCGAAATTTCCTGAGCCCTCCACTACGGCGTCTCTCATAATCATATGTTTTTTTTTTTTTTGGGACGTTAAACCCCACATATCAATCAACAGTATGCAGTGCGTGTGGAGAGGAAGAGCAAACTGCCGAACACCTGATAATGCTCTGTAAAGGGCTTCACCCTATAGTTCAGGGTGGCGCATAGTTTTTCAAAGCACTGGGATTTAGGAACTGGGAGTGCAAGATAGACATTAAGCGGGTAGAATTAACAAGAAGGTTATCTGAATGGTGGCTAAAGTCACGGCACGAGTGAAAATTAAACCCTTCACTGCAAAGTACTAGTCCTCAACTTTACTATTTAATGAAAAAAAGATAAATCTTGTGGTTAGTTCATTAAAAATACAGCTAGGTGGCGCTAGCCGCCGCCTAATTTAAAGGGTACAGCCACGTTCATTCATCCATTCACCCAACGGAAAAAGAAGTATAGCCAATAATAGCCAGAAAACTATGCTACCTATGCGTCCGCGTCTCGCAGATCTGGGAGTTTTGAATGTGTTATCCTGGTGTTGTTTGCATTATTTATTCAAGGTGTGAGTGGTAACTTTATTCGTGACCGCTGCGTAAAGTGAAACCGCGACGGGCGACGTCCTCTAGGTGAAACGCGCGTAATAATGGCCTTCTTTATACTTCATAGCCTCCTAACTAGAGGAGGCAGTGGTGCAATGGACGGCATTCTGCCAGCGACTAGTGCATCGACGGATGTGAAACCGAGTGTTGATGAAGACTCTAGGTTGACGAAAATCATTTCCGCGAACGAAGTTGCGGGTAGACGTGAAGCCTACTGTGATCACGGACATTATGCGAATGATGTTACGATGGACGTAAGCCGAACATTGAGCATGATGCGAATGAATTTACGTCGGGACGTCAAGCCGTTAGTTGATCACGGACATTAGCGAATGAAGTTATGGCATGCTGGACGAGAAGCCAGTGTTTGATGATGGGCTCCATGCGAATGAAATTGCGGAGGACGTGGATCCGTGTGTTGATCACGGCCACAATGCCAATGAGTTACAGGGACTTGAAGCCGTTGTTGATCACGGCATAATGCGGATGAAGTTATGGAATTGGTGGATGTGAAGCCCAGTGTTTGATGATGGGACTAGATGCGAATACAGTTACGTCTCTGTGAAGGTCCACGTACCAGCTTATTTGGTATCTTTTGTCACCTGATTATAATAAACTGCGGATGTGCCTCTTTAAGTCTTATCAGCCGATGTGGTGATTGTTTCATTAGGCTCAGGCTCATTCCTAAGTCGACGTTTATAGAACCCGTGCAAATCCAAGAATTGTTCAATGAATGCACAAGTATGTAGTCGTCCTGTTTGTTTCATAGCTAAATGTTGCTCATATTTTATTTGGTGCCTTTTCATCTGCTCGATTATATAGATGTTTCTATGACGAAGCACTTAATATTAGTTAAATGGGTTAGTGATAAATGTGCGTCATCTCGGGGCAGCGGTCCGCAACTTCGGTGTAGGCGAAATACTACAGGTGCATGTACTTAGACATAGGTGCACGATAGCGGGCCCAAGGTAGGCTAATATCCAAAGCTATGCACTGTTATGCCTCATAATTGTGTGGTTACTGAGAAATTTTACTGAGGCTCCCATTATAGTACTTTTTCAAACATGATACCAAGCATTGCACACGATTACACGCAGCCAGCATTGCGAAGTGCGTACGTCGGGCCTTATTTACTATTTTGAGCATATTTATCTACAAAATGTGCTACCCGGCCTTTATTGACCTAATTTGGTGTGTTAGCCCTCCCCTAATTTCCCAAAAACATAATGGAAGGGCCACTGAAGCGCTGAGAATTGCACTCTTCGCCAACAGTGTACTTTCCGGTACCGTCTCTCTCGGCATAGTGTTCTAGAATAGGTGCACTGCGTTGTAGTACACTATTCTCTCGGGGCAATCATCTTAACGACCGCCATGCTGGATGAACAGTGTGTGGGGGGGGCGGAGGTGATTGGGGTCATACTTATGCACGTTCATGTGTGTGTTTTCATGTGTGCGCATGTGCAATGAAAAAATATCTAGACTGCGTGGGTAGAGTGGGAGTTAAGCAACTTCTCCTTCCCTACTAGCTATGCCGCTGGTGAAGATTCTCAGATGAGCCATCAAGCTGCTGTAAAGTATACAGTATAAATAATACCCTCACTTCCAACATAAACGAGACTATCTACTCGACTACCAGTTCTTAAACTAAAGGCAACAATTAAGTTAACGTTGATTGAAGTAGCGGTCCAGAAACCTCGTAGTGTCACTTTCTAGCCAAGGAAGGGCCTATTTTGAAATAAAATCTTGTTTTAGTGGTCCGCATAGGGTTAGCGCACTTCAAGTTACCCGCCTTAAAAAGTGGACCGTACCAAACTGACTCACGTCACTATTGCCATGCACAACGTTGCCCGGCTTTACTTCTATTGTAGCAGTACACCGAAAGCAGCAGGAGCCACAGGAGCAACAACGGCCATTGATCGATTTCCCGTCATTGGCTCCGAGATCGCAGATATCGTTTGGCTAAACTGCGCCTCGGTAGATGGCACCACTTGTCCAGTGTAACTACCGAAAATTAGAATTTTTTCAACCCACACGTACCATTCCCCATAGAATTGTCTGGCAGTTTTTTTTTTACATGAATCAAACAGAAACAAACAAATAGCATTTTATTGCCTTTCTTGATGCATGGAAGGTTCTTTATATAGCGCAGCTAAATCGATTACTAGTGACTAATTGTAGGCAGTCCGCCTGATATCATTGGGATAATTTTGAGAATGTCCTACTGCGGCGTATTTTTTATTGTGCATTTAACTAATTTCTCGGTAAGTAGGGCACTGTTGTAGGTAATATTGTCGTCTTAGATGTTGTCATACATTGAGCTTTCACTCTGACGTAAATTGTTATTTGAATTTAGTGTCTCTTTAATATAAGTATGTTTTTCACTTGTGTAGCCATACGACAGGCTTTTTGTCTTGGGGAGCAGGGTTCTCGCCTGAAAGCGAAAAAAAAAAAAAAATGAAGTATTTGTATTGCGATAGAGTTTATCTATGCACTGCATCAATGCTAATAACGTGCCATAAGACTTACATACTGAATATGAATAAATATTTTTATTATGCGCATAAAACACACCTTCAATATTTGCACAACTCCCCAGGAAAGTAGCATTTGTGACTGTAAATCTCTAAGCTGGATGGCTGATTTAGAAGTCGCCACACTGATTACATTCCTTATAGTGCACTTCTGTTGACAATGGAATGTATATGGTAGCCCCACTCCCATTTCGACTTCTTAGTTGAAAGCACCAAGTTTGCCGTCTGTATTGTCAGTGGGTTTCTGCTGAAGATTGCTCTTGCAAGTGCAACGTTCCGCTTCATTTACGTAGGCGAAAATCTGGTGGAGATACACAACCTAAAGAAAAATATTTTTCAAGTTTGTAAAATAATAGCTTTTTGTAGTATCATTAATTTTTGGCTAACACATGGAGCTTTCAGATGAGGTGCATATTTTTAGTCTATCACCAATACGGGTTTTCTCACACTGAATAGAGGAGTTTTTTCCCCCAAAAATTGAAGTTTGCAATTTTTCAGACCATTTGCTACAAATTCGTGCCTAAATTATTGTTAATTTGTAATATGTTAAACAGGACACCAGCAGATTTGTGTCCTTCGAGCTTGCCGTGCTCCCGATAACAAATTCGTGAATCGGCAATCTAATTCGATATTATCGTCGGAAAGTCCTCGGAGAATTGATATGCATAACTGAGTCATTATTTTTACAGTCAAGTCGCTTCATTACCTTGCGGCAAATACCATTTTATCGCATGCATTCTAATAACATTAAAAATATATTGTTCTTTGACGCTCTCTATCTCAGTCGGCGCCACACTGCAGACTTTCATAAATAGGAGGGTGAATTTTTGGTAATGGAAAAAACGACTAGGATGAGTTTCAAACTTCAAAAAAACATGAGGAAACTTTTTCAGCCATATTCAATAGGGTCAGAAAAACACTGGATGATTTGACATGGAATGACCCAGATGGCAACTTGTATTAAGCATGTCCTGAATAAATGTACTGCTTTGTTAAAGTAACACATTTGCACTGGCAAAGGTTGTCGTATAAACTGATTTATAAGTGCAGAAATTTTTGTTATTTTGCTGCTCAAGTCTAGTTCTATGTGTGTGGAATATCTGATTAGCATTACCTTGCTGTGCTTCCTGTGGCTATGCAGGTTCCTTGCCTGCGGCATCTCAGGACCAGTACCATTCACTCGTGTTTGTAGAAGATGGACTGCATTCCTGCCGTCAGTGTGCATATACAACCAGGATTAAGGCGAACATGAGAGTACACCTTCGCCGACACACAGGGGAGCATCCCTTCCAGTGTCACCTTTGCCCGGCTACTTTCACTGCGAAATTCCATCTCACAGAGCACATTCGCACTCATACCGGAGAGCGTCCTTTCTCCTGCACGCAGTGCAATGCATCCTTTTCACTGAAACACAACCTGAAGGAACACTTGCGCACCCACACAGGAGAACGTCCCTTTTGCTGTGTTCACTGCAGTAAATCCTTTTCAAAGAAATGTAACCTGAAGCAGCACATGCGCACCCACATGCCCAACCGCATTATAGAGCGACCCTTTTCTTGTGGCCAGTGCAATGCATCCTTCACATCCAGATTCCAAGTCAAGCAACATATCCGCACCCACACAGGAGAGCGTCCTTTCTCTTGTCTCTACTGCGATGCATCCTTTTCACGAAAGCGGGATCTCAGGAGTCACGAGCGCATCCACACAGGAGAGCGTCCATTTTCCTGTGATAATTGTGATGCAGCCTTTGCGCAGAGGCGCAACCTCGTGCTGCACATGCGCACCCACACAGGCGAACGTCCCTTTTCCTGTGGCCACTGCGATGCATCCTTTTCAGTGAAGCGCAACCTCAGTAGTCACGTGCGCGCCCACACAGGAGAGCGTCCGTTTTCCTGTGGCCACTGTGATGCATCCTTTTTATCCAGAAGCAACATGAAGCGACATATGCGCACTCACACAGGCGAACGTCCCTTTTCCTGTGGCCACTGTGATACATCCTTTGCACGAAAAAGCAGCCTCGTAGTGCACACTCGTACCCACACAGGAGAGCGTCCATATTCCTGCATCTACTGTAATGCATCTTTTTTCCGAAGAAGCACGTTCAATCGCCACATCTTAGGACTTCATCCCAAGGAAGCCCTGAAAGGCAGGGGTGCCAGTGTTCCTAATGTGGAGGTAACTTGACTGATTTATTCTGCTAGAAGGTGACCTTATAAAAAACAAAACTCTTTACTGCCGAGTGTTGCAAATTCACGACATGCTGGAAAACTCTGAGCAAGCAAGTGAAGAAATTTGTGCCGCCTTTAACGCCGGTTGTGAAGCTCTCACAAGGGACATAGCTTTCAGCAGGGAAAATCTAGCACTGTTTTCTGTAAAGAATTTCATGCTCGAACCAGGTGTTGTGTAGCTGATGGTAGAGCTTCTCAATGCATGCTCAACGTCTCTCCCTTCATTTTTGATCCCCTGAGTAACATAGCTTAGTCTTCTGTAATTTTTGTGGTGTAATAAATGCAAGCTTGCTACTCAGAGCTGAAAATAAGAAAAGAATTTTTTTTGGCAGTGTGATAATTCAGGAATTAAAAGGCCAAGGTGCCCCGAAAAGTTTTCACATTCCTCGGCTGTTGAGTTTAGAGAGACATAATTACCCATAAGAATTTCTTAGGTGTTCAGATGACATTGCATATAATACAGGAAGTTAAAGGTTTGGTTTGCCATAAAAGTGATACATGTGAAAGTTTCCAGTGCTATGGTTCTAAGCACTGAAAAATAAATAATTACCTAGCTTATGAAATATTTCCCCTTGCGTATTAGTATGTTCGACGTAACCTGAAATCCCTTTATGCACCGCTGCAACGGTAACTGGGTGTGGTATCTGGGTGAGGTTCTAGGTTTTTGCAGTTTTTTTCTTTTTTCTTTTTTCAAGTACGTGGCACAATCACCATGTGGTTATGAGGGACGCTGTAGTGAGGGTTCTGGAAATTTCAATTGCCTGAGGTTCCTTATAGTGTGCCTAAATCTAAGTACACAGGCCACTAGCATTTTTGCCTCCATTGGAAATACTGCTGTCACAGCCCAGATTTGATTCCGCAACCTTTGGGTGAGCAGTCGAGCATTATAACCACTGGGACATTATGGTGGGTCAAAGTTCTTTTAGTAATGAGAAGTATAGAGTTAATCAAAAAGGCAATTCTACATTTGATTAGATCAACTTCTTTGCCCCGCCGCGGTGGTCTAGTGGCTAAGGTACTCGGCTGCGCACCCGCAGGTCGCGGGTTCAAATCCCGGCTGCGGCGGCTGCATTTCCGATGGAGGCGGAAATGTCGTAGGCCCGTGTGCTCAGATTTGGGTGCACGTTAAAGAACCCCAGGTGGTCAAAATTTCCGGAGTCCTCCACTACGGCGTCTCTCATAATCATATGGTGGTTTTGGGACGTTAAACCCCACAAATCACCTTCTTTTGCAAAGTTTTGTCTGCAAACTGTTGATCACTACATGAATCCAAGAAATAAATTGAGGAAACCTGTATATGCCTGTGCATAGCTAATTAAGTAGAACAAGCATGAAACACATGAATAAAAATACCAAGAATGCAGTAATACATGTATGGCAGACATAACTGTTCTTGATTTTGTTTTGGAGCTTTTTATCCAAATATAAGAAGCTCCAAATCCCAGAAATGCAGAGCCGGGCTACGTTAGCTACCTTTTGAAAGCGAAGCGCTCACTTCTGTTAGGCACACTCGTGTACTGGCTTTTGTAAGTGCGCATTGAAACGATGCAAACACGGTAGTAATTTTGAAAGCCCGTCGTCTCGTTATTTACCTTGTCTCACCGAAGCAGCCTGCTTCAAAATGTATTCTAAATAAAGGTCCTCATGATTCTTTTTGACGCTTAACTTTCTTCCCTCATAGCGCACTCTCATTTGCCGCGCATTACGACGTCTTTCGGAACCCTCAAACGTACAAAAAATTATTCAAAGTATCTCTGTGCACCTGGGTGCCGATAGGAAGTATATGTAGGCGCGGATGCAGTCGTAGTCATGAAAATATGCGAGGAAAAGCGAGCGGGCGAAGCGTGCCTACTTGCACATGAAAGGTTTTACCTGGTGTCTGATTCACACGATTCGCGTAGCCAAATACTGCCCAAGAGCCCACCATCGTCGTTTTTTAAAGTCATCACAGACATGTTCAAAACCATCTTGCTTAATTAGAGGCATCACACGCAACATTACTGGCACTAAAACAACACGAAAGCCACGTACGCTACAATGCGCCCATCCCCTTTCTGCCCTGAGCAATATGGCGGCGATCCACTTCAGCCACAGAGCCCCTCCGCCACTGCAGTAGTTTTAGTATAACCTCCTTGTCTCGTGGTCACCCCCTTAACTTCGCGTGAACCAAAATTAGTATGGGAGGGTAAGATCGTTTTACGAATACGATGCGCTGGTCAAGACATGAATAATGTCACTATCTCGTCACGTACGTATGTCAAACACTTCCAGCCAGGCATTGGCACATACCCACGGGCGGGTATGTGCCGCGGATGTGTTGCACAGGTGATTGACATAAATAAACAAGACAACTGTGTGCATTGAAGATCTACTAAAATACAGACAAAAATTAGCTATTATTAACCCGGATTACACAAGGAAGTAGCAATTTTATTATATTTTAATAAGAAGTGTCATGTTATGAAACCAAAAAAACACAGGAGTTGAGAGGAAACACAAGCTTAAAGAAATCAAAAATTTGTAAACGTGGTTTGTCGCTAGTGCCATCATCCCAACATGCGGACCTCTTCAAGGTTTCAACTGCCTACCTTATCTGAATTGTGTACGGCAGATTTGTCAAGATGAAGGGAAAGACACATACAATGGTGCTAACCATCAGCAAATGACCACAAAACATTTCAGATACGTTGCACCGACAAGGCCGACAGTCTTCCATTGCCTACCTTAGTGCATTTTATATTGCCGCGACAGGTTGGCCACGTTCAAGTAGCCCGCTGCAATCATCGTGGCGCTGAGGACCAGCAAGGCCCGGCTGGCATGCTGCCACGCGTTGGTGCACTCGGGCTACGAGGAAGAGGAAGATAGTTGAATCTGTGCCACTCGGCTTCTCGGACTCGACAACCATAGTCGTTAGACTCGTGGGCACAAGTTTGCCCTAATAAAGACGCTTGTTTTTTAGCCTGTCTGCCTCAGCATCGCTACATTTCTGGTGGAGGTGCTGGGTAATGAATCGAAGCCCCACGAGCTCAAGACAGCGTAGCCCCGACGACTTGCGTGTCAACCCCGTGGAAGTGACTCCTGTACACCAGAGGGCAAGTCGCTGTATTCGAGGTGACTCACCTGAGTTCAGTCCTCTTCACTTCACGTATCAGTCATCATTTGACTTCCCACCAAGGGAAGTCAAATGATGGACGCCACCACTATGACTAGCCAGGTACACCGGCACAAAGTGTTCATCAGCCAAACCGCACCAGCCGCCAGTATTCCACGGCGACTCGTACGAGGACGTTGAAGATTGGTTGGACCTGTTCGAGAGAGTGGCGAGCTTGAATGGATGGGACGAAAGAGAAAAGCTCCGTCGTGTATACTTCGCGCTGGAAGACTTCGCAAAGACATGGTTTGAGAACCATGAAACCTCGTTGTCTACCTAGGAGGTATTTTGATGACAAGCTGTGACTACGTTCGCGAACATAGACCAGAAAGAAAAGGCGGAAGCTGCTCTTCAATCGAGGAACCAGCTCACAAACGAGAGTGCTGCCACGTCTGTTCAAGCGTGCGGATTACAACACGGCTGAGGATAAGAAGGTGCGCCATCTAATGCGTGAAGTGAAGCAAGAGCTGTTCGCCGTTCTCGTTCCCAACCCTCCAAGCACAGTTGCTGAGTTTTATTTGGAAGCGACGGCCATCGAAAAAAACATTGGAACAGCGGGCTCGGCAGTAAAACCTTAATCTTAACTGCGCATCTGCACAGGTATTTTCTGGAGGCGTGCTAAACGACGTTGAAGCCCTGCGAGAGCTCATTAAATCAGTTATTAGGAAAGAACTGAGTAGACTGCAAATGCCCCCAGCTCCAACTGCACTATCTGTTACAGACGTTCGTGACGAACTGAGGCAGGTCATACGAGAGCCAGAGCGTGAGCTGCAGCCGGTTCGACCTATCCGAACATACTCTGAAGTTCTCAGACAACCCACAGTACACAGCAATGCAGCAGTTGCGATGGCGGAGACTCCTCTCCCACCTGCAGCACGCCGCGCACCTCGTCCACGGGAACCAACGGCTACCTATATCTGCCCCCAGGAGCAGCACATAGCACACATCGCTATGTGAAGCATAGGCCCAGGAAAAGTGACGTCTGGCGTGATTACGAGCGCAGGCCTCTGTGTTTTTATTGTGGTGAAGCGGGTCATCTGTACAGCCCTTACCGACAGGCTGGATTAAGAGGCTTCCCGTCGTATGCACCGTGCCCCGGAAACGGCGAATGACCAGCGGAGTTTGAGGAGTATTCGTCCACGCGCCAGAACTCACTACCTCTACGCCAACATCGGTCACGGTCACCATCGCCTATGCGCTTCTGGTCATCCAGCCCACGTGCACCTTCAAGGCAGCCTGGTCATCGCTCTCCAAGTCCACTCCCGGAAAACTGAAGCAAGGGGCCTGTGGAGGTGAGGCCGCTGATAATATCAGTTATGAAAATCCTCCAATATGGCTTGAGAGCGACGACGGTGTATTTCCGGTAAATAGGTGCAGCAACCAAAGCGTTACTTCATATTTGCTGTTGAGAATGAAAGGATCGGAGATGAATGCCTTAGTCGACGCCAGTGCTGATTATTCATTGACAAGTCACAAGATAATGAAGAAGCTAAACAAAGTTGCGACACAAGTGGAGTGGATCAGAGATACGCATGGCGGGTGGTCACATTATTACGCCCCTTGGCAGGTGCACTGCAAGACTTGAAATACAGGGCTTTATTTACGTTGCCGATTTCATTGTGCTACCAGAATGTTAAAGGGAACTCATTATAGGAATCGATTTTTTGCGAACTAATGGCACTTTAATTATTCTGCGTAGGTCCAGTGTGTCGTTTTCGACTGAACGAGCTATACCTGTGGAGGAATCTGAGGAACGATGCCTAACTGCTCTACGCATTGTTCATGATGACGTAGCTGTGTCGCTACGCTGCAGTGTAATGGTGCTCGTAGAGATTGACGCATTGTATACAACCGTGAAGGCACAGCAGATACAAACGTAAGGCTGTTTTTGAACAAAGATGTCTGCGTAGCTCGGGGTCTTGTTCACTTGACGAATGGTCGTGCAGATGTCCTACTTACAAATTTCTCCAATGAACTTCAACACCTCGCTCAAGGCACTGTTATTGCCTATTTACACGACTTCTGTATGGCGACCGAACTATGGAGCTTAACGACGTCAACCACTCGACCAGAGTGGCCTGCAACATCGACACATCCGTGACCGTCAAACAGAGCCTTCCGGACACTGTCAAAAGAAACAGATTTACGCCTTGATAAAAGAATTCTCTGATTGCTTTTCAAGTGCCTCGAAGGTCCAGCGCACGTTAATCACGAAACACATAATTATAACG